CGTTGGGATTCAATCACTGTTGAGAAATAGCTGGAGAAAACGTCACAAAGCAAGCGATGTGGTTTTGTTCCAGAAGAGATTTCTCCAAGGGCTTCAGCCGAGAGCTTACACCTGCCTTCCTGGCAGCAGAGCTCCTCAGGGGAAGGCTGTTGGCAGTTCTGTGTTTGATAGAAAAAGATAGGCTAACTTGTCTTGACAGAAACTGTGGTTCAGAGAGATACGAACGTAATTTTACTGAGGTTTTTCTGGAGCGTGTTTTCTGTCTGAGTAACTGCCAGACAGCTCCTGAGGCCTGAAACCTAATGCTAGTGATGTGTAGAAAAGTACTTTTTCCCGATTAAAGAAACCACAAAGCTTCAGTCTGTTTTTGACTGGCTTTAGAACAGGTTGTATAGTTCCCAAGTGATAATAAGTTACATTCTAAGTCAGATGTAACAGAAATAAACAGGTTTGCTAGGTAAATAAAACTTGTATGATTATGCTGTCATGTTTTCCTCTGTTCCCAGTAACTGTCATGTTCACTTAAGCCAAATTAAGTAAGAGGTGTAGAGATGTAAGAGATCTTGAATTTCTACAGATTCTTGATTTGTGAAAACAATTGGATTTGTAAAAGAGGAGACGTGAGTAAGTGTCGCTTTTCCTGCAGAAGCAGGAGGGTTATCCTGTCCGTGGAGTCATTCAGGTGGGGAACAGTCAGTGACCGTGTCCCATCAGAATAGGCACCTCCTGACCAGTCACGGTCTGGGGTTCGTGAGAGAGCGGGTGAAGGCAAGGTAAAGTATTAGGGACCCAGGAGGAAGCCAGGTGCAATGGATTTTGCCCTTTTCCCACTGAAACATATGGGGGGAGAGATTCTAAATCCTTTCTATTTAGCGCATGATCGTGAAGGGTGGTTTCTCTCGGAGTTGGAGGGGTTGTAAAGGCATTAATGGATGTGCTTCTTGCCTTGTCAGTCTTATCCGGGTACCATGCTTTTAAAATTCTGTTACTTAAAAGTGACACTGCAACCAGAGCAAAGGTCTCCAGCTTTTTGGTGGTGAGGCTGAACAATAATTATGAGAGCTGTATTACAGAATTCCAGCCTAGGTGCTCGGAGCCTTCTTCAAAAATCCTTTGTACAAGCAAATTTAGATTGGGCAAGCAGTTAGCTGGCCTTGAAGTCGTTGCAGCTACACCAACAAAGCATTTGGAAGAGAAGATGGAGATGTTGAGACCAGACTCGAGGTTAGCTCAGCCCTGAAGGGAGCCAGTGGTGCCAGTGCTTTAAGGTAGCAGAAGAATGATAAGATAATAGCAGATAAGAGCTTCCTGTTGACACAAAGCCATTTTTGAAAATTAGGAATGAATCTTGCTGTTTTAGGCTAGCATGAAACCAGTGGTTCGGATGGTTTCAGTGAGATGTGCCATATTTATCAGGGGTCATTAAGGGTAAAAGTTTAACTTATGTTTCATTTAAGTTCATTTCAGTTTAACTTATGGTAACATTCGAGGTGGGCGTATGATGAATTTTTCACTACAGTTTTTAAAACTGTGAGCACATCTGCAAGGATCGCTTACTTGGCAAAGTATTATTTAATAGAAGTTATTCTGAGGAGCACAAAAAAAATGTATGGAATAGTTTGTCAGTGTGATAACCTCCCGTTCTCACTTTCTAATCTGGGCATGAGCAATGTCGCTGTGTTTCAGTTAAAACTGAATTCTTGGTTATAGCTTAGTATTTTTAGTGATGCTACAAAGTAGGTGGAGGTGGTGTTCATGAGTTAAATGCCTGAATATTTATATAATGCCATAGTTCATTCCTATGCTTTTAAAAAGTTACTAGTGTGTTCCTGACTCTGTATTTCACTATTTGAATAAATGATACCACGTATAAAGGCTTGATTTCACTTTGTATGACTGATGTAACTCTTTAGGTTTTAATTAGTTGTTATAGTATCGAAGCTGATTAATTTGTTTTGTATGGAAAAAAGAACTTGGTAGTTAGCATAAATGATGACCTGGTCTTTTATGTCCTCTCCCTTCTCCCCTTTATGCCAGCGGTAACATTTCCATTACTCTAAAAAGAAATAAGGCAGTTGCCTGCATGTGTGCTTCTATAGCAGCTGCCTGCCTAAGGAACAGAAAGGTGCATGTCTGCTCTTCAAAGAGTTAAAAAGCAGTGTGGGAAGTTCACTCTATCTACGTTTTTCTATTAATATTCACGATTGCTGCAGCCATCGCCAAGCAAAACCTAATTTGATTCTAATAAACGCTCTGTAGCGTAACGGCCTTCACCAGCACCCATCTCTCTGTCTGGCGGTCGAGATCTTCGCTGGGAGCCAGGTTTCTTCTGCTCCTTCTCCACCTTGAAAGACGTGGCACCGTCACCTCCAACCGGTTCCCTGGCCGGCTCCAGCGTCCGCCGTTGGACAAGAAATGCACCTTTTTTCCAGCACCCTGTAGGCAGGATCTCGTGCCCTGTTCCGGAACGGGGGGGGGACCACAGCTTCTGCTTTGCTTTTTCGAAGGTGGCCGTGTTTTTTCCTGTTAAACACCTTTCGTGTTTAAATGACGTCAGTAGTTATGAGCAGCTTGGTTTTCTTTTGAAGGATTTATTTTAATGAAAAGCGGGAAAACGGCGCCGTGTCTGCAGGTATCGGGCCCCGAAGCTCGCGTGCCAGCCTCCTGAAGCCGCTCTTGCGCGAGGCGCAGCGCTTTGGCCAAAGATCTGAAAATGAGGGAAATTCTCGCCCCGCGCCTCGTCCGTACGCAGTTCTGAACGCGACGGGCAAAGCGTCCGTCCGCAATGCGACCCCTTTAAACCGCGGGGCTGATTTTTAAGAAATGATCGCTTTTAGAGCTGGCGTTTGCCCTTCCCGGCAGCGTCGCGGGAGGGGACGGGGGCCGAGTGCGCATGCGCCGCCCGCCGCGCCGTCCGCTGGGAATTGTAGTCCCCGCCCGCCCCGGTGACGCCAGGCGCGTTCCGTTGTTATGGAGCGGCGCGACAGGCCGTAAAGCGGGGCGGCGCTTCCGGCTGGCGCGGAGGGGGGGGCTGGGGGCCTCGGGGGGGGGGGCGCGGGG